GATGGCCGAAGGTTCAGCTGATTTTGGCGATCCGACGAGCAACTTAGTCGAATATCTTGCTGTTTTTTGAGGGTAGTTTACCTAGGTAGGCGTGTCCGTGTTGGTCAGCCCGAACATTTTCGTAGCCGAAGGCGAGGAGGTCCATGCTTCTTTTCATGGCTGTTACTGTGACAGGATTAAGTACACAGTCGTCCGTGAAGAGGAGTTCGTGGACAGTAACTGTTGTTGTCTGCGTTTATGCTTGAATTCGTCGAGTATAGACATTGCTGATTCCAGGGCACTGATAACGGTAGCCTTCCGTCACAATGGCAGAGAACACGAAACTGACTCCATTGGTCACTACGAATGCTTCTGAGCCTGCCGTCCGTGATTTGCGCTGTTATTCCATGGTTTAGTTTATGCCTACACGAATCGTTCAGGGCAGCCGCATTTTGGCATGCTTTTCTCCCCGAAGACTCTCGATTCCGTGTATCAAGGGTTTTTTTTCATGTCAACAAAGGTAGTGTAGGTGTTCAGCTCAGGTCAGGTTTATTAAGTGAAATAAAGGCAAAGCCCTTTGAACGCCCTGTTGGTACATAGCAACTATGAAATGCATTGGCACAGCAGAACAGTTCAAAAGAATGGCGATGCCCATAAATAGAACTGAGTAGAAAGAACAGACAGTGAAAACTCCTTAGGCATTAGTTGGAAATTCTAGAAGTTTGAATGCCTTTTGAGGAATTTTAAGGAGAAAACCTGTCGCTCGTGGAGAGAAAGTAAATGCGAGATAGGATGGCCTGCTGCTGAGAGTGTTTGAAGAAAGTGTTTTTAGCAGTTGACGGGTGGCGCATATCATGTCAGAGGCTCCTCAGTCAGTCGGAAGTCCTTGTTCCAGATGGTCGTTTGCAAAAGTGTAAGTGAAGATTTTCGCAGTACAGTAGTCGCCGGCTATTAAGCCCACGGTTAATAAGCCCGCCGCTTATTAAGCCCAGTCTGGTCTGGGCCCGATGTGGATTTAATAACCGGCGACTGCTGCATTAAACCCATGGTTAATAATATCGCCGCTTATTAAGGCCCAATTTGGTCTGGGCCCGAGGTGGGCTTAATAGCCGGCGACTACTGTATTGTTTAACAGTGAGATTCATCTATGCTTATCACTGTCCCCGGGTCCTTTTTCGCCGGCCGGGATGGACGATTATCGTGTTCTTGAAATTCTGATGGACTTATTTTTTGCCTCCATATCAGGGATAGTGATGTTATTTTGTCCATCAGCCGAAGGCCGCCGTGTTTATAGAGTTCAGCCGAAATTGTGTCGGATCATCGCGGTTTTTTTTATCGAGAGTTGTCGCATGGCTTTGACCATTCCTTGGAGTGGAGGCAGACAGTCCTGGTCGATATCGGTTTCGGCCTCGTGGAGCCGGTCGATGACAGTGTCGAAGATTGCGAACACTTCTTCCAGCGCCCCAGAATTTTCGATTTCTCCGTCAGCAGTGTAGTTCCGTCGGAGCGGAATATCGGCCTGGCTCTTTTGGTACGGAGGCAGTCGAATTCATTGCTGGAGACAAATCATTCTTCAGTGTAGTCTGCCTATCCTCGGATTTCGTCGGCCCTACGATTAATCCATGCAGTTTACACCCCCACAGCCGTTGCTGCATTAAGCAGAGACATTTGAAGTAGACCGTTTTGTTTGCGTCCGACGGGCAATTAATGCAGGCTGCTGAGTTCTGCGTCTGTGTCATCAAACCAGTCCCCTGTCGTTTCCTGAGTACCTGAAAAAATTAAAAGTTGAGATAGCGTACTACAAAAAAGACTCATCCTTTGCAGATTTTCTCTTTTTGTAACTTACTGATTGTGTACTCTGGCGGACATAAGTTATAAGTAGATAATAACGCCGCCAAAGACACAGCAGACTGGGATGGCCATTTCTGGCTCATTAGCCGTCGACAACCAGTCACACCCGAACTCAAGTGGCGTCCCACCCGAGCCTTAAACTCCCGACCTTTTGATCACAGCCACACGCTCTAACCATTGAGCCACGAGCTCGTTGTCTCGCCGGTTTAGATCAGGGTATATTGACACTCGGGCCATTCCAGTCTCCCTTGTCTTTGCCCACAATACTATCTGCTTCTTCCATCTGTTATGGTTGTCAGGGCCCCTGTCGGGACCCAAGTCATATCAGGACAGAAGATTTCTGTTACTGGTCAGGCAAGCGCTCATTAATGAGTATAACTGATAAGAGCTAACTACGGTCAGACCTTTAAGCATCTGTTTACATGGTTTAGTGGATGATGTTTTTTGCTGCGGTATCACATATGGCGTTTTCCTAACTGACAATTTGGTATCCATCTTGAATGCTGTAGTTTAAAAAAATTGATGTCATTCGTGATGGAGAGAGATTTTTTGTGCTGTAATGACTGATTACGAAGCAGCAGTTGGTAAAAGAGGTTGCATTTACCACTTGTGTTCGCCATACACACACAGTGCTGTTTAAACCATGATATTGTGATGTAAGTTCACGAAGTGTTTCACTTTGCTCAATCCGACTTTTTGTTCTATTTGCACCTGACTCAGATGCATTCATCCGGGTCGGCCCCGATTACCAGGCCTTCCTTCCAGTGGCTGATCCCACCTATCCAGAGCAGTTCGTACAGGCGGCTGATCGCGAGATTCTCCTGTGGAGACCCATCTCGGAAAATCGGTTGCCCGAGTTGGAACAATATCTACAGTTGGCCACTACCTACCACAGGTAAGCAAT